CAGTTGGCATTGTCCTCCTTGCATCGAATTTGCGCACATGGCGCCCAAAATGGTCACAGTATGTAGCAGTTGGTGTTGTCTTGGCCTGCGTCGAATTTCTGACACTTCGACCTCGAAAAACAGAAGTAGGTTTGGCGAGTGAAGTCCGCGAAAAGCTCTCAGTAGGCCCTCAGTCTATTAAGGGGACTGATGAGCGATGGAGTCAGATTCGCAAGCAGCCGTGAGGACATCATTTGTAACCACAAAATTTGCTTCCCTGGTGCGAGAAGACTGCACAGGCGAAGCATTGCTCCTAGTGCTGCGCATCGGCAATGGCGGTTTCTGGTAGGAGTCCCCTAAAGAGCTCGCCTAAAAACCCAAACATAAAGAATTGCTCCCTGAGGAAGAGAACGCAAGTCCACATTCAACCCCCACAACTCCCCCCTGGAAGGAAACCCCAGAGTTAGAACACTGCACCCACCAAGGCTTGCTTTCTCACGGGAGGGGCTTACAAATTCAACCATCCACACTGCTCACCTCAACACCCCTCTGAGCTCACCGACCTGAACAGAGGAAAAACTTAGGTGCTTATGTACTCCCGGAGAGGGGCGCGCAACCTGAGGGTTTGTCTTTCAAACGGCTTGAGCCAAAATGGCTACGTTCTTTCTTTCTTTGAGGGTGATGGACAGCCCTACGGCTGCCCTAGGCCCAGCCCCACACCCACGTCCAGCAGCGCTCGGTCACGGCTCCCGAGGATCATGGCGCAACGACTCATCGTCTAAAATACCCCAGTGCTACTTGCCCCTTCCCTGAGTCCTTGCCAATCCTTCAAGGGAGTTGTGAGACTTCACGCACACACACGCTCCTGGTGAGTGTGCTCCGGCGAAGCTTGGCCTTTTTCACAAATGTAGCCCACCTTACAAAGATGACTGCGCACTACAGCTCACGATCTCCAATACTCTCGCCGGGCTTAGTGCTCTGGCTCTGTCTGTGACATGCCCCAGTCCTAGCAACTCCACTACTGTACACTAGAGTCAGCTGGCCCCGGGGGTAAGGATCGAACCAACAGCGTAATTCCTGACCCCCCTCCCGTTGGGTCTGTCTGTAACTCTTCAACTTTCTTTTTTCGGGAGGGCGCCCTCGGCCGCTTGTTCTTCTCCAATTTCGGGCTAACAGGGTTACCAGCTGACTCTCTAGCCTAGGCACGTGCGCATGGCGGAAGGCCGTTCTCATCAAAGCGCTACCAAACAACCACTGCAAGCCCTGACACACCGATTCGGGACCCTGCAACTGTCATGGCAAGCCAACCCTATGCAACACGCATGCCTAGCTCCCCTGTTTATGTTGGCACCTTCAAGCGGACAGCTCCACTGATCCACCTTCGGCCATGGCGCAACACCGAAGCTCCATGCATGACCGCCCGCCTATGCAAAGTCAGCAACACGCCTATGCAATGTCAACAACATGCACTGAAGGCCTCACAAAGCTTCATATCTTCACTCGGTCACACGCTGCGGGTATCTACTTGCCCCTCAGCTGCTCTCACTGTCGTGGAGGGTCTCTGCTTGTTCTCGCTCTTGACGCAGCTGCTCCTCCTCAAACTCCGCGACTGCTTGCTGGATCTGCTCTTCCTCCTCGACTCCATCTCTGCCCGTTCGGCCTCGTACTGCTGGAGCCACTGTCTTTCCTGGCTGTCGGGTGTCCGGCTGCTTCCGTTAGGTTCCACTATACGGCGCGGTCCAGGGTGCTCTGCCGCTTGACCCCATGCGACTGTCTCCGTCATGGAGGTTTCTCGTGGTGGCACTGCTGTTGCCGGACTTGCATACTCTGCCTCTCGGCTTGATCCAGCCTGCTCCGCCTGGTCACCGTCATTTGCCTGGCTCCGAGGCAACCACTGCCGCCAATCGTCCTGTCTGGCGATGTCCCTGTCTTGGGCGCCTTCGGCTGCTGCTCTTCTCCGGGTTCCTGTTTGCGTCGTCTGATTTGCTGCGTTCGTCTCCGGTTCTGTCTCGCCAATGTTGATGGGTTCCATGGCCACCGGTTCCTGCTGTATCAGTTTGAGCGTTTTCTTCTTTTGGTGCGGTATTTGGCCCTGTCTCCTGCGCGGCTGTGTCTGCAAGCCTTGGTTCTTCTTCAGCGGCTCCTTCTGGCCTCTCTTTTGCTTCTTCTTCTCCTGCATGGGGGATGGTGGAGAGCTGTCTGTGCGTCCTTGCGCTTAACTTCGGTGGCTCTTGCTGCTCTTCCTCTTCCTCCATGCTGCCCTCGCCCCGGGCCCCACTTTCCTCGGTGCTGTTCTGCTCTCGTTCTCCAGCCTGCTCCTGTCGGGCGCTCCTGTCCCTATCCGCTGCCGTAGCTCTTTCTCTGAGGGCAATCCTCAGTGCCAGGAGGTGGCTCGGCGTGACATCTTCGTGCACTCTGTTGTAGACAGCGGCCGTCTGGGCCGCCACCCTGCGGAGGATTTCCGGCGGGACCTCCTCCATGACGGCATCTAGCATCGCTGCCCAGTAGTTGTTCACGAGCGTGCTGGGTGCGTGGCTCCTCATTCGTGCTCCATGCCTCTGCCGGCGCCATCTGACCTGGCACGACCCTGGCCCTAGCCACAGCTGTCTCCCGCCGACCGGCTTCTCAGCTTGTTTGCGTCTTGTCTCCTTGATCCGCTGGGCCGCCTCTAGCATTTGTCTGCGGCGCTGGTTGCTGGCAAGGAGCTTGAGAACTTCCTGGAGTAACCCACAGTCCACAGTGTCTGTCCACGATGTAAACAAGGAGGTCTCCATATCTGTCTGCTCTTGTGTTGGTATGCTTTCCTGTAGCTCTCGCGCCACGCTCTGCACGCCGGCCTGATCTTCGCAGGGCTTCCCCCTCAGGCTGAGGAGCACTTGGATAACTCTGGGGAGCAATCGGGTAGAGGCCGTCCACAACAGTCGCACCAAGCCCGGGCGCAGCACCCCGATAGTAACCGGACCCGGTTCTCCTTCTTCCTCACTGCTGAGCTGGCATCCACGCGCTTCAGCTGCCTGTTCTCGAAGCTGGCTGCCGCCGGGCTCGCCCACAAGCTCCAGTATTTGAAGCCAGAGGGCTTGGTGCTGCTGCAATCCAAGCGGATCGTGGCATAGTCCTCCAGGTCCCTGCATGTGATGAGAGGGCCGTAGCGCGCCCTGGCCTGTGCTCTCGGTTCCGCCCCCTGCCTCAGCTGCTGGTTGCGGGGCTTCTTCGTCACTGCCACGGGCGTGCTGGCTTTCGTTCCTTGCAGATGCCGTGGATGCTGCCCTGGGGCCTCTGGTGTGGGAGGTCGATCTAGGAGTCCTGTCTCTGTCTCTCGGTCTGCCCCCCACCGGTGGCTTGGGTCGCCCGTCTTGCGTGAGGCGCCATGGAGCTGCATGCATCAACGAGGTGGCATCGCCCGGGTCTCCTTGATCTGCGCCGAGGCTCAGTAGGGGTCGAAAGGTCGCCGCCATGCTTCGGTGCCAGCAGCTGCACAACCCTTGGTTGACGCAGTACCTACTAGCAGCGTTGCTGATGCGGATTGCTGTGGCTATGGGCGCGGATGCTTCTTTCCAGGTTGCTTGTCTTGGTCTGTACGTCTTGTCAATCCCATGGCTACATTTCCTTTGCTGCTTCCTCGTGTGGGCCTGTCAGGCCGTTCTGTAGCGGTTGCCAAAATGACACAACGCATGCCTCACTGCAAGAGCTGGGCCGGCGACATGTATGGCGAAGTGATGTTGACACTGACTGTGCGGCTGCATCGGCTCCCCACGCACTGCACCACTGCAACTGCCTCGCTCCTTCCGTTCCTCTCTCTCTGGCCTTCGCTCTCCTCTGCTTTGCTTCATTCCTCTGCCTCTCTCTCTTGTCTGTGCTTCCCCGCGCTGTGTCCGGTTCACTGGGTTGTCAGGGTAGGTCCCGGGCTCAGTTGGCGTGGTTGGTTGGTGTGGTTGTTGTTCCTGTGCCTGCGGTGGTAGGTTTGTTTGCTGCTGCCTTCTTCCTCAAACTTTCCTGTTAGCAGTCATCCGTTTGCGGGTCCGGCTAACGCAAAACCTTCGGCTGGGGTAAGGTGGGGTGGGCCTGGGCACTCTAGTTAGGGACAAGGTTGGCCAGAGAGCTCTGCTTCCCGCTAGCCCATTGCACATCAAAGCGTTTAACAAATGCTTCCTCAAGTCTCTTCCACTCGATTCTCCTTTGGGCGGTTTCTCTCCAGGGGCCTGCAACTTTGTTGAGGAGCTTCTCTGCGCTAAGCATGGCATTGAATCTCTTGGGGTGTCTCATGCCATTCGGTTGGGACTGCTGGGCCCCACCATGCTTGGTCGCGCCAGCCCAGGAGCTGAACTCCATCATCCATGTGGCGCGCAATATGTCCATGAATCCTCCAGATCATCTTCAGAATGATGGCGCTCCATCTGAGCTGGGGTTTTTTGGCCAAGACCGTACGAGCAAAGCGCAGGGAGCGTTGATTCCAGTCGGCCCAGGATTCGAGGGTTTTTCTGGGTATGCCGATCGCCTGGCGCAACTGCATGAGCTGCAAGCTATTCGCCCCTTTGAGGAGCGCCTCGTGGGGATGGCAGGCCCCCACGGCCCAGAGGGCTGCGGGGGTAATGAATCTTCCATAGGCATCCAACTTCTGTTCTTTGCTTCCCGGTCCCATGAGGAGCTTCCTATGTACCGCGAATGCTGCTTTAGCTCTTCTGGAGATTTCCCCGAGGCAGGCAAGGACCTCCTGTTGCATGGCCACCGGGGCCCCTAACACGGTGATCGTTCCCATCGGTGTGAGGTATGGACATACCCGGTTTTGCTGGAGTGTATGTTAAGCTCTCTGTGACCGAGGCTAACGGCCAGTCTGTCTAGCAGCTGCTGGAGGTAAGGTCTGCGCAGGGCCCAAAGGTAGACGTCGTCCTGGAAACCCGCTCCATGGTTCGGCAGGGCGGGCCTTTGTCCGGGCTGTATCCTGCTCTCGGGCCTGTGGCAGCCTCTCCCTGGGGGGGTTCTAGGGTCTCATTGAGAACATCGCCGATGATGCTCGCAAATATGACAGGGCTATCTGGCGAACCCTCCCGAACGTCATGTGTTTGCTGGACGTTGTGGGCCACTCCCTGCGCGAATACCTCTAGCTCTCTGTTCTCAACCAAGTCGACCCAGAGGCGTGCTAGGCCAACCCCCGGTGCGCAAGCTTGTCTTTGATGGCTTGGGCAAGCGCAGGCTGGGAGACTGTGTCGAACGCTTTAGACACGTCCACCTTCACTATGTGAATCGGCATGTCCCACTCCTTACACACCCGAATCATCCTACGAAGGATAAGTATCAGCTCGGTCGCCTGCCTGCCTGGTCTGGCAAACTGGAACCTCGCCTTCGACGTGATCTCCTCTGCTACTCTTCCTAGCAACAGTTGTGCGTGCCACTGCTGAGTGTGATGGGTCTGGTCCCCCCCACTCCTTCGGCTGCATCTCTTTTGGGATGAGGATGGTGGCTGATTTTTTGTCAAGCTGGTCGCACCTGCCTTTGTACAAGGCATCATTGAATTGTTCTCGAATCCGGGGTTCCCAGCTCTCATGCATCCTCATCACCCTCAAGGCTTCATAACTGATCCCGTCTGGTCCCGTGCTCTTCCCGAACGCCCATGCTTCCGCGCACGCTGCTAGCTCTTCTCTAGAGAAGGGTCTCCACCTTGTTTGCTTGCAGGTTCTCGTGAGCTGGTCCCATATATTCCGCAACTTCCCCTGTACTTCTTCCGGCTGCTTCTTTGCGAAAATACCCTGGAAGTGCTGCTTCATGGCTTTCTCCCACTCCGGCTGTGTGGTGAGTTCCTCGCTGTGTCTGTGGTCCACCGAGCTCGGCGGGTTCTCATCTACGATCCTCCGCACCTCCCTGCTGGGTTGAGGTCGCCCGTGCGTTGCACTCGGTTCCCCCCCTGTGTTGGCCATGTGAATAATCTCCTCTACCTTGCCCCCACCTGCGTACGGCAACCCCTTATGTAGGCCTTGAGATAGTACCTGAC